ATTATTGCAACCATTCATTCGCCACGTTCATACGCTGACACCCGTGGTTTCGTACCGTACCTGGAGCAGTTGGCCACCTCAATGGTGGGGCCCTCGCACTTCCTGCCTCCGCAGCGAGGGGCGGGGCTATCGCACGACCTGGACCGGCACAAACACGAGCTGACGCCGTCCACGCCGTCGTCGTTGTTGCACGCCTGCCACGCCGTCCAATCTCCAAAGGCGCCGTGCGTGGTCTGGTTCTGCATCTGGACACCGAAAGATCCGCAGATGGGGAGTCAGTCACATACGTCTCAAGTCTCAAGCTTCAAACAAGACACGGACGGGCAAGAACAAGCACTCGGAAAATAGGAGACTTACCGGACACGCCGTGATGTTCTGCTTCCACTGGCTCATGTTGGTGCTGTCCTCCAGCGTTGTGCAGCGCCGCTGGCGCATATCCCAACCGCAGTAAGGATCCCGGGCCTCCAAACACAGCCTGCAGGAGGCGCAATTGCAATTGTGCCACAAGAGGAAGGCAAAAAAAAAAAAGGTAGGTTAAATTGAGCCATTTGAGACAAATGAAAAAACGCCAGCAATGCATACACAATGTATCAATATGAGGTACATGCTTCAAATTTGGTAGCAACGGGACAACATTTCTTGTGCGTTATACTGCATGGTTTCTTGAGACTTTTTTTTTTTTTTTGTGGATTTACTCATGTCTCCCAAACTTCATGTTTCTAAGCGAAACTGTCTGTATGGGCTGAATTTTCTAAACATTCTAAGTAACGTAAAAAGTGATTTCATCTCATTTGAATGTGTTGCATTCAGGGCTGTCGCGTAAATCTTAAAACCCTAGCAGACAACCAGCAGGGCATCACAGCAGTACGTTCGCTTCGTTACCCGCCTCTCATGACATCGAAGCTGCGTAGTCACATAAATAACAAGCCCGCTTTTTCCATGAGGCGTCATCAGTACGCTCGAAAATAATCCAAAAGTAAATGTTAAGTCACCTCCACAGCTCGCAGATACGCGACATCAACCTCTCAAATATTCATAAAGCCGCAGCGAAGCGGCTGTAATGGCAGCTAATTGAATGTTAAGCCGCTAAGTCTGATGATAGAGTCTGATAAAGGACGACTGCGGTGGCTCGTTAGGTGCACTTCCTGTCTGCCTTCACGGCACTTCCTGTCAACGCCTCCCTCGATTAAAAGGCGCTACCGAGTGCCAACGAAGCGACAGCAGGTGCCGTGTCTAATGGTGCCATTCGGCAGCTCAAGGTCGGCGGCGTCATTTCACCAAGGCACCTTCATTTGCAGATCAACCAAATGGAACTCTGAGCGCCGGTCAAAGTCAAAGTTAAAGTCACGGATCGTTGCTCAATTCTTGCTCTCTGAGTCCAGCAGTCAGTCTTTTTGATCCATTAGGATAATTTCGCATTGTTTTGGAAAATTTGAGACAGTTCGCATTACTGTTCCAAATGGTGGTACTGGATGACGAGATTCAATTCAATTCTTTTTTTTGGGTCATCATATTCAGCCTTTCATGCATAACATGATAACCTGTTAACTGTAGTAACCGCTGTACCTGAAAGGGTTAAGAAATTAGTTTGATATATTTGTTTTCAATATTCATGAAAAAAAGCCCGAAGCAAAGCGGCTGTAATGGCAGCTAATTGAATGTTAAGCCGCTAAGTCTGATGATAGAGTCTGATAAAGGACGACTGCGGTGGCTCGTTAGGTGCACTTCCTGTCTGCCTTCACGGCACTTCCTGTCAACGCCTCCCTCGATTAAAAGGCGCTACCGGGTGCCAACGAAGCGACAGCAGGTGCCGTGTCTAATGGTGCCATTCGGCAGCTCAAGGTCGGCGGCGTCATTTCACCAAGGCACCTTCATTTGCAGATCAACCAAATGGAACTCTGAGCGCCGGTCAAAGTCAAAGTTAAAGTCACGGATCGTTGCTCAATTCTTGCTCTCTTCGAGTCCAGCAGTCAGCCTTTTTGATCCATTAGGATAATTTCGCATTGTTTTGGAAAATTTGAGACAGTTCGCATTACTGTTTCAAATGGTGGTACTGGATGACGAGATTCAATTAAAAATTGGGTCATCATATTAATCCTTTCATGCACAACATGATAAACTGTCCACTGTAGTAACCGCTGTACTTGAAAGGGTTAAGAAATTAGTTTGGTATATTTGTTTTCAATATTCATGAAAAAATATTTCTGTATTTTTCATCCGATATTTTTTGTGGGTTTTTTTTTCCTCTCCGGTATGAATGCTTCTTTAAAGGTGTGCATTGCCCAATCATCTTGCACGCTGAAGAGACGACATTCCGAACCGATGAGATCAGTATTTTTCATCCGATATTTTTTGTGGGTTTTTTTTCCTCTCAGGTATGAATACTTCTTTAAAGGTGTGCATTGCGCAATCATCTTGCATGCTGAAGAGACGACATTCCGAACCGATGAGATCGTCAAGTGTCAATTCTGACGTTGAACTTTTTGTGTCAAAATTAATTCTCTGCAAAGAAGAAGAGAGAGCTCACATGCACGGAATGCACCGTACATGTTAAACAGGCCACCGGCCCACAAAACGACGCATCAGCGGCCATCAATCGTCCGCATTATCCGGTGGCGTAATTGTCGCTTCCGACCGGTCGTCGTAAAAAATCGTTGTCGGCTTTTACGGCAGTGGCGTGAAAAAATTGGCACGCGTGTGTGTAATTGCGCCCATGACCGGCACAGCCGATAAACGTGGCGCAGACGCTCGGGAATAAAATGACGGGCACTTTAGCTCCCCCCCTGGGGAGCACCACGCTGACAGGCCCTCGCCACTGGGGAAAAGCGGCTCCTTCCCCGGGGCGCAGCCGGGCGACGAGCAGGCTCCAGTCAGCCGCTCCATGTGTGATGCAACACTGCTGGCGTCCAATTAGAGACCCGGTGCTGACACCGTGCTGATACACAGAGTGGCACTCAATAGAGCGCATACCTCCACCAAGGCATATGGGAACATTCATGGCAAAATAAAACACATGGACAAGAATTTAAATTCAATGGAATACAAAAGCTGACATTCAACACATTCACATACACACATTTTTGTGACATTTTTCGGTAAAACTGTTCATATTTGTCTCAGAGGTTTGTATTATTTTATAATATCGCAGCAAAATGGACACAGTGTGTAAATGCAGCAAACTCATCGATGAGGAGCGCAAACGCACCAAATTGATATGCAACAATTTCATCGTCATTTATTTTAATCAGTAATCTGTCTAAGTTGTGTTGCACAACTTCTGCGAGTCACTACAAGTCAAGCAACATGGCAGCTAAGCTAGAACGCTATGACAGGCAATGCGGCTAAGCTAGCGCCTTGAATCGCTGCGGCTAAAGTAAATCAGCTCACGGGGTGAGTTAGCGAGACGGCCGGAGGACAACGCGCCACCATTAGCTGCAGGTGCCAAGCGGCTGGGTCAAACCTAATCACTGCAAATAGAGGACAACAACACACACACACACACACACGCACACACACACACACACACACACACACACACACACACACACACACACAGGGCCCAGTAAGCAATCAGTAAAAGCCTACATATCATGTGCTGTTGAAAAGGTTTAGCAACGTAACCAAAAAATAAGATGGATGAGCTCAACGCTAGCTAGCGAGTGGATCAATAAGAGAAAAGAGCGAGGCATTAAAAGCACTTTCACCTAATTGAATTTGCTCGCAGGATGCTCACGCCCGCCACAGAAAACGCGCAACACCACCACTTAGCGCGCAGAGCTAACAGCGACGCGGCACGCCGTTTAAGGACACGCAAGCACAAACGCACACGAAGCAGTGGTGGAAAGGTAAGTCGAAATTTGGGAACGTTTTTTTTTTTTTTTTTCATTAAACCATTTCTTCTATATAATTTGCAGTTAAAAAAAATATTTTTGTACTTAAGGACATTTTCACAGTTTATACTCACTTTAATTCATCAGAGCAGTTTGATCTGTACATCTACTTCTATCGCAGACAGTATGTATCTGTACTTCTATTTCAGTACAGAGGGTGAGTACTTTTACCACCTCTGAGGCGCACGCACATGCACACGCACACACACGCACGCACAAAGGCAGCCAATTTTGCTGTAGCCGCTGCAATGCCCTCGCCTTGCTTTGATCTTGTAGATCAGCTCGTCTTTGGCGAAGCAACATGTGGCCCATTAGAAAGATATTTTGCTGGTGTACATTTGTCAGCGTGAGGAGGCTCCTTGTTTTGTTTGATAATGTGACCGAACCCGCCGACCTTGTCCACTGCATTCCTTGCAATATACAATTTCTCCTCTTTTTTTTTTTTTTTTTTTGCAAGGAATAATAGAGAAGATTTCTCACATTATGCGCTGAGGTTCTTCTCCTTCTCCCATATGTGCTAATATTAGCCTTTTTTTTTTTTAACCATTGCAGGACCTTCGGTGAGCTGTCAAAATGTCCGCCGATGTGCAGAGCTGAAATGACGGACACGTTGACACAAGTCAGGAGTGGGGAAAAGTGTCAAGCGAAGCAATCCCCAGCTTGAGGGGAGCTTCGTGTTCCTCTCGGGGCCGACACCTCATTAGATCAACTCCCTGACACCTGTGTGTGTGTGTGTGTGTGTGTGTGTGTGTGTGTGTGTGTTTATATGAATGCGTGTTTTTATGAATGTGTGTGTGTGTACGAGCAAGTATTTCTAACCAAAGACAAGAAATGGAGCTCCTGTTGTGACATAAATAGTGTTAGCATAGCAAATGCTAATGTCGCCGAAAACTAGTATTTTTTTCTCCCCATTTCAGTGACAGAAATTATAGTATACACCTAAACAGTAGAATATTTTAAATTCAAGATCAAAGAAGCTCAAAGCACTTATTCAACCAATCAGAACGCGCTGATGTCATCCCTTATATATGTTATGTTTTCCTTATATCTATATTTATGTGGTCTATGTTAAGAAAATAGAGATGAGAAGTGCAAGGTGATTTGACAGCTCTGACTTTCCTTAATTTAAATCACCTCAAACACACAATTATTGCACGTTATAATTATTATTAATAATGGATGGATATTAATAATATTCTGAGCTTCATTACAACGTAGCACTGAGCAGCCCCAAATTATCCGTCTGCTAACGTGGTTTCGAAAAGAGAAAAGACTTTTTTAGGTGGCGAATTAATCCTGGCTTAGGACGTTTTAATCAGCCGCTATAGGGCGGCAGAAGCATTGAGCGGAATTAACTGCCAACAGAGAAGAGAACAGAAGCAGAAGCAGAAGCCTCAACCGACTTCCCTCCTTGCTTCAAAGCAGCACTGCGGGAAACCTGAGGTAAACACGCCACCTTGAACGCCTCAGTGGGAAATAATGCAAGCTAACTCACAACAGCCAAGGACAACCGGGGCGTCCTGTATTTATGACATTGGAGACACGTATTATCCGAAAGGAGATGAAGGGCAGCAAAGCGGATCTAGATTCTGGATCATAATGAAGCAAAAAGATTGCCCGAGTGTAATACCGCATTAAAAACTATAGCATGTCGTAACGCAGCTCGGTGGGAGACTGTGGAGAACCATGCGGCAAAGTGGAGACCGGGGACTCACGTCTCAGTGTGGTATGTGGAGCATCTTTCCAGGGGGATCTTCAGCACTCGGTCGCTGAGGCCCACAAAGAGCGAGCGGTCGCTGTGCAGGATCTGCAGGCTCAGGATTGGCTGGCGCGTGCCAGGTGGGAGGAGCTCCATCTCCTCCAAGTAGCAGCCTTGCAGGTTCTTGTTGGACGTGGCCAGTGCCTTCAGAATGCTGCCGTACTCTGCGCACGGAAGAAGAAACACTCCTGACTCTGCAGATTATTTCCACTGCGTTCTCTGTGGATTTATCTGCACTGACCGGTGCCGATGTACATGACGTGGTAGAGCGTGTCCATGCCCTGCACGATGTCCACGGCCAGGTGGGAGAAGCGCACGTCGTCCTGCATGACCAGCGGGTCCACTGACTCGGGCTGCACCACTTCGTTCATCAGGAAGAGGCGTTGGGCGTCTTGCAGGCTGCGCTCCGTCAGACCCTCGTTCGGACCCTCATCCTCAATGGTACCGCACTGACCATGGAGGCAGAATGCAACACTTTTGTCCTGTCCTGTCCTCCTGTGGGTGTGACTAAGGATGGTCAGAGTGAGACTAACCTGGAAGTTGCTGATGGGGTTGGGGGTGGGCATCCAGGTGGAACGAGGGTTCTCCTGGGAGCGGAACGGACCGTTGAAGGCGCGCGTGATCGCGCTAAGGTTGAAGGCGCAAACGGCTGATGCTGCGATGCTGTTGCTGGGTATGAAACATAGGACGGGTCAGGACGGGACAGGATAGGTCAGGACAGCATGGGAGTGAAAAATGGGAGTTATGGATTGGGGAGGGAAGGACAGAGGACAGGACAGTAGGGGAAGATATGAATAGGACAGGACAGAATGGGAACTGCGACAGGAAATGATGAGAGGGAAAAATGGGAGATTTTATCATTGGGACAGGGCAAGGCAGGATAGAAAACAGGGCAGGATGGGATGATGTGGGAAAGGACAGGTCAGGTCAGGACAGGGCGTTGGAGAATAATATGGGGTGGGAAAGAGACAGGACAGGATGGGAGAGAAAAACGGGAGATATGGATTGGCGGGGAAAGGATTGGACAGTAGGGCCAAAATGTGAGATGATACGGATGGGACAGGACACGGCAGGATAGAACAGGAGGGACAATGGGAGTTCTTAAGGATGGGTGACAACGGGACAGTGTGGGAAGCATTCTGAAAACAACTGGAGACGTTTGAGGGAGAACTGATTGACTCCTAAGTAAAATGCATCACAGACAAATACAGACGGATTAGACAGGACAGTACGGGACAAGCGAGTAACAGAAAATAGTCGCTGTTATTCCGCTAGTCAACATTGTGTTTCGCGTGTTCATCCATGTCATGATCCTCTCCCCTTAATGAACCTGCACACACTGCACCAGCACGCCTTGTTTGGCTCCTGGCTGAGCTTCTCTATCAGCTCAGCGCTGTCAATAAGAACACAATTAAAGTCTCACTTGGAGAGCAGGTGTCAAATAAGGGAGGGAGAGAGAGCAAGAGAGAGACAGAGAGTGAGATAGAGAGAGGAGGGAATGACTTCCTTCCTTTGCCGACGCTGATTTTGCATTTATTTCTTGCTGGTCTCGCCCACATGCTTGTCCGTCACCAAGCCAGCATGAGTCAGTGGGCCTCGGCGAGACTTGTGGGAGGCCGACCAGCTGGCGGGCAACACGTCGAAGCAAATTGTGTGTCTTTTCGTGTTTGTTTTCCTGAGACGTTTTAATTTTTTTTGTGGGTCTACTTATGATTGACATGCCTGTCAAATTTCCCATTGCTAGGCAAAACTGGCTTGAAGGATCACTGACAATGACTAAAATAACCTGACAACAGACAATTTCAAGCAAAATGGCAGACATCCTGTGTATTTTTGAGCATGGCTTCTTGAGACTTTTTTGTCGGTCTACTCATGTTAGACATGTCTACCAAATTTCATGTAGCTAAGTGAATTTGGCTTTGGGGGCTGAGTTTTCAAAAGATTTTAAAGATCACTAGAAATAAGAAAATAAACTTACCATGGTCTATTTGGGAGAAAAAAAAATGTTCCTGTTGGCCAAGGCTTCTTGAGACCCTTTTTGTAGGTTTATTCGTGACAGACATGGCAACTAAATTTCATCTGGCTAAGTGAAAATGGCAGCAGGCTGAATTTCCAAAAAATTAATGAGCTGCGTTATGAGAGTTACGTGTTTTACGGTGAGCCATCAAATTGACTGCCATGTTCCGCCCACACGCCATGGCCAAATCTCTAATTCTTCTCAATGTAGCGTTGCCCATCTGTCAGGTATACGTGCTTCAAATCTGGTAGCGATTGCAAAAATAAATAAGTAAATAAATAAATCTAGGAGTAGCTTGTCTTTGAAAGACGACTGGAAACGGCCAAAATGAACCAAAAATTTTGTCCGCTGCAAAGCAAAATGTCACACTCCCTGCGTCCAACCTCATTTCGGTGCTGAAAGTGAAACAGCCATAAACACACACACACGGAGGCCATGTTTCAGCACAGTGACGTCCAGTGTGGCAGGGCACAGAGGGAAAAAAAAAAAAAAGGGCTAGCTCAGCACTCAGCACCGCTCGTGAATTACATCCATATTTTCACACTGCACAACAATGGCAGCATTTATTCACGAGTCAGCAAACACCTGCGCAAAAACATAAAGCAACGCTAGCTAAGGCTCATCGCCAGTGTTGAGCTACTCTAGAGAACGTCTGTGACGCTGGTATATTTGCTGCTGCAGATCATAAGTAGGTGGTTAAAAAAACAAACAAACTTGTATTTCTTCACCGTGGGTCACACGACTGCACTTGATGACTTTTCAAAGGTGGGTGGCACGCGAGGCAAACGGTTAGCACGAAGCTAAGACGGCCACTTCAAAAAAACAACAGCAGAGTTCTTGTGTCTTTTCATACATGGCTTCTTGAGACTTTTTGGGTGGAGCTCATTCATGAAAGACATGTCTATCAAATTTCATGCTGTGAAGTGAAACATTATTAAAAAAAAAAAAAAAAAAAAGAAAAAAGAAAAAAAAAGGAACCCTGGAAGTGGTTAAAAAAAAAAAAACAAAACTTGAAATGGACACTTCAATCAATACAACATACTTTCTGTGTCTTTTTGTGCATGGCTTTACAGACATTTTTGTGGCTTTACTCATGATAAACATGGCAACCAAATTTTATGTTGCCAAGTGAAACTGGCTTTGGGGGCTGAATTTTTCCCATAATTCAAAGGACGCCCACAAAGGACCAAAAAGGACCATGAATTCTTGAGTTTTTGGTGGGTCCACTCAGAAGAGACATACCTACAAAATTTCACAGTGCTACAGTAGTTGTTTTGGCTGGGCCACTCCTAAATGAGAGCGTGCTGAGTGAGAAGTAAATCCAAGTGAGTCGCAAAAGATAAGGAGGCTCATAATTAGTAAGTAATGGCAGCTTAGCCGCCATCCAATTAATTAAAAGGCGGCTGCGGCGCTCGCCGGCGTCTCCGCGAGAGCCGCCACATTACTTTCGACAAGCCGCCTTCCGCAGGTACTAATTATTTTCATTATCAATCCATCATCTTAAGGAGGAGATTAAACGGTGTGGAGGAGAAAGAAGTCATCTCCGCTTTTGTTGTTGGTTGTTTGGACTCGTACGGTCACGTGACCGTGATGCAATCAAGTACTTTTGGCCTTGAAATCTTCATCGTCAAGTGCGTACTCACGATGGGAACATGCGTCTTGCAGAGCAGAAATACGGCACGGTTGGGATTGCCCCAGTGTGCGTAACGCCCTGACAGTCTGCAGGGACAACAAAATGGTAGTTGGAATTAAAATAAATAAATTTTAAACACCAGATGGAAACGATTAGAATGGTTGTTGGTGGAGACGTTGAGCGTTCTGGTTACGTGTGCAACGGAACATCTGCAAGCGAGCGAGTGAGTGAGCGAGCTGGAGACCTGACATACGGCGGGTGGGATCGCTTTTTTTTTTTCTTTCTGTTCGGAAGACAAATTCCCATCATTCCGGAACAAACCATTCCTGATGCTGCAGCGTAATCTAACGAGGAGCTTGTGTCATGAGTCATTAGTTAGGCTAAGGGAAGGCGAGGAATAACAAGCACCATCAGTATCAGGAAGAAAGCACTCAAAGGAAATGACTTACTGGAAACACAGCAGGTGCTCGCTATTGGAAAGGAGGAACGGCGCAAAAACACCTTTCTGCCTCCTGTTGATTAACGTTGCTTGGCAAACTACTGCTGGTTCAAGGTGTGGCTGAGTGCAATTGTTTAAAAAAAAAAAAAAAAGAATAAAAGACACTTTTCAAGATGTCGCGTGGTCGTAAGCGAGCTGTTCACTTGATGTGGTTTGTAACAAATCCACTGCTATCGAGAAGCCATGTTTTCACGTGTGGTCATTGAAAAAGATGGTGATGCGTTCAGGTGTAGTCATAAAAAATTTAAAAAAAAAGCTGCATTCGGTTGCTGTCGTAAAAAAAGACATTCTCGATGTGATGCATTGCAGTGCTGTCCAAAAAAAAAGATGCACGAGATAGGATGCATTCAGGCGCGGTCGTTAAAAAAGCCGCCCCAAGATGCGAGGCGTTGAGTTGCCTTTCATCGGTTCATTTTCTTTCAATTGTCGTTTAGTATTACGTTTGTCAGATTCAAGTTACTCCCGTGACCGCGGTGGGCGTTTCTTCCCCCCCCCCCCCACAGAGTACCAGCAGCTTTGTCAAAGTGTTATTTTGTTTTGCGTCACTCACACGTTGGTGGTGAAGATGGCATAGATGAGGTCCTGCTCGGGCAGATGGAAGGTGCTCTGCAGCTGGTTGTAGTAGAAGGGGATCTCGCCCGAGCGCGAGCAGTTGAGGCGGGCCTTCATGAAGGTGGTCCACGTGTCTTCCAGCAGGAAGCGGCCGCCGATGTCGTTCTTGCACACTCGCGCCACCCGCGAGTACACCGTCTTGCCGCAGTCGTGCTCCACCGCGTTCTCCCGCAGGAAGAACAAGGTGAACAGGCCCATGTCATACGCGGCGATGAAGTGCGGCTCTGCCGGCAGAAAAAAAGTCAAACCAAATTTTAAGACATTTTTTTGGGCAAATGTTTTTTTAGTTAGTTTTTTTTTTTTAATACAGGATTTTTCTTGTGTGCATGATTAAAAAAATGGATGGATGATTTGAGAGTTCAACAGATGTATAGAAAAACCGATGGAGAGATGGACAGACAGACAGAGATGAAAAACCCAAAATTAATTAACAAAAATGAAAACAGTACTGGTACATATTTTCACTGTAATTAGTTATGGAAAAAAAAACACTCTCCAGTGTTCAGACGTTTGGGAGATTTTGGATGCTGTCATAGAGAAGAAAGTAGCCATTCTCTAAATGGGTGTACTGAGGTGGGTGCACTTGTAAAAAGATGTTTTGGTGATGTGATGCATTCACACATTGTGGGCATCTGGAGACACTCTCCAGATGCAATTTTGTCAGCATTCATCCAGTCATGATGCATTCAGGTGCTGTTGTAATAAACGATGTTCCCAAATATTCAGATGCTTCGAGACATGAGGCGTTAAGGTGAGGTGGTGGTTTAAAAAAATTGAAAAAAAAAACATGACTTCCGAGTACAAGGTGTTTGTGCAGGGTCGTAAAAGTCGATAAAAAAAAGAGCAGAGATATTTGCAACATTTATCTTCTCCCCTTTGGGTGCTCCAGCAGTGATGCATTCAGGTGCAGTGGTCTTTCCCACCGCTGACCCCTCACATGGCTTATTATTGCGTGCAATAAAAGTGCCAAAGGTATAAACGAGAGAAGATGAAAAACGGCCGGTGATAAAACGGGCGCAATGTTTGGATGGCAAATCCATGCGGCGACTCGTCTTTAGCTTCACGCGTCCGCTGCTTTACTGCACGCGCCGACACCAACGTTTGATTCACGGCCGGTCACAGCGGATGAAGCGGTGAGCGGTGCCGCTTTGCAGCAAAATGTTTTGGGCTTGGATCTACTGTCACTTGATCGGTGAAGACAAAATGATTTGATGTTTACGAAAACATCGAAAGCATCATTGCAGACTGAAGTGTCTTTGATGTTAAGGAAAACTCACTTGTCTCATTGAAAACAACAGATGGTTCATTGAAGACTGAAATATTTTATGTCAATGAATGTTAGTTTCCTCGAGGACTAAATTCACGAGACTAAGTGAGTCTTTAGATTGCAGTCGATGGAGCGAAACTGAAATTTCTGCGGCGTCCTGAAAGGTGAGCACAATTTACTCGGTGCGAAAATGTCATTTGAAAAACGTGGGAAGCACTGTCCTGCGCTCATTTGCATATTCCGCCTCCATTTTGCCACAGGTGACATTCAAAAGAATGACGTCACATTTCCATTTTTTTTTTTCCTTCAGTCAACTTTTTAGGCGGCAAGCCGCCGGTGTGAAGAAATAATGAGCAGAGTAAAGATTGCGCCGTGTGTGTGCTGTCATTTGTTGTAAGCGATATCGCCGCCTAGCATCTCCTCGCATAAACACAGAGGAGTCATAAAATGTAATTTTCGCAAATGCGCCACCATCCATAAAGCGGGATGGGGGGAGAGCGGCGACGGGGGATGTTGAAAACAAAGAGGTGGAGGAGAGGTGATGGCGGTGGGCTGCGCTCTGTGGAGGTGATGGATGCGGCTCTGGGAAGCGAGAGTGACTTTCGGGGATTTGGTAGCAATCAGACAAAATCTCTACAAGTCGTTTGTCTTTGTCGGATGCCTGGAAGTGACCAAGATGGGCCGAAAATGGTTGCTAACAAACCTCGATGGCAAACATCTTGTGTCTTTTGGGGCATGACTTCTTGAGTTTTTTTTTTTTTTTTAATGGGTCTGCTCCTGGTGAACATGCTTACCAAATTCCAAGTTCCTCAATGAAACTGGATGTGGGGTATGATTTGTACAAAAATGCAAAGGGCACCTTTAAATGACAAAAATGGCTGTTTCAAGCCACAATGTCACAGTCCCCGATGCTTTTTCAAGCATCTTCAGACTTTTTTTGTGGGTTTACTCACGAAAGACATGCCTATCAAATTTCATGTTGCCAAGTCAAACTTTAAGGGGCTACATTTTCAGAATATTCAAATGTCGACTTGAAATGACAAAATGAAGATTTATTGGCAGCTTCGAACAAAAAATGGCCAAATTGCTGTCTCTTTACAGAATTTTTTTTTTTGGTCGATCTAGTTAAAACAGACAAGCCAACCAAATTTCATGTTGCTGAATTAAACTGGCTTTGGGTGCCTAACATTTTAAACAATCCAAAAGAACCCTTGAAATGATTTTAAACATTTTAAACAATCCAAAAGAACCCTTGAAATGATTAAAAAAAAAAAAGAACCAAAAATTGCAGCTTCAAGCAAAAAAATGGTCCAGTTCCTGTGTCTTTTCAGGCACATCGTCTTGAGACTTTCTTGTTCACCAAAACGCATTGCTAAATTAAACTGACGTCAGGGGGTTAATTTTCCTCAAAAAAAAACAAACAAAAAAAACAAAAAAAAACTTGTTGGGTTATTAGCTTGGTCTTTTATGGTGAGTCATCAAATTTTTACGGCTATGTTCCACCCACACGCAGTGATTAAAACTTGAATCCTTCACAATTTAGCATCACCCATCTGTCTAGTATACGTGCTTCAAATTTCTGACCAAAAATAAATAAATAAATAGATAAAAATTCCAGGAAGGCTTTGTCTTTGAAGGACCCCTGGAAATGCCCCCCCCCCAAAAAAAAATCTGAAAATAGCACCTCTCTTTGTGGGTCTACTCATGATAGCAAATTCAAATTTGGCAGGCATGCAAAGATTAAAAAAAAAAAAAAAACCAAGAAGAACCCCCCACCAAATTTACATGCAATTTAGACTCGTTCACGTGTCTTGAATGTTAGCACTTTGTGCCATTCCGACACATGACGCGAGAGAATCGGTCAGCACCTGGATGACGACCAATCCCGCGAGGGAACAGATTGATTGGATCCGGCCCCCACCGTCATCCTCCCCCCGCTTTGCGCCGTCTGAACCGCTGCGGCGGCTTAGCACTGGAAATGAGATTTTCATTCTCACCTTCCAATCCAGTAGAAAGCCAATTCTCTAACACTGACAGACTGTGTGTGTGTGTGTGTGTGTGTGTGTGTGTGTGTGTGTGTGTGTGTGTGTGTGTGTGTGCGTGTGTGCGTTGTGGTGATAGCATGTAGTGAAGTGCATGTGGTTAGCTGCGTGTGTCGTCAAGTCTGGAGGATGCATTGGTTTGGGTTTAGTGAGCTGTGTGTGTGTGTGTGTGTGTGTGTGTGTGTGTGTGTGTGGACAGGTGTCTGTATGCCAGATGTCAGATGTTTGTGAGTATGTAGTTATGTGTGTAGTGAAGTTTGTGTGTGTGTGTCTGTGTGCGTGCGCGTGGTGAAGTGCATATGATCAGGTGGGTGTGCGGTGTAGTGCATGTTTGTGTGTGGTGCGGTGTGTGCGCAGCAGTACTCCCCCCCCCCACACACACACCCCCCTCTGCGCCGTGAGGAATAATGACATTGCTCACTGATCATCAGTCTCCACTGTTGTCCCTCATCGCCCTTCCAGAAACTTCCCGACACGTCCTCAGCGGTTCGCGCTTCCTCACTTTCATCTCCACTTCCCTCCTCGCCCCCCACCCCGCCTAAATGTCTCGTACTTCAGCGAAACTTTCGGCGAGTCCACCAAAAAGAAAGCACGGCAGAAATGACCCAGTCACACGGCGCTCCGTTTACCGTTGAGCCACTTGGAGTTGTACTGGGCAGTGCGAAGCGGCGGCATCCCCCCGAGGCTGCGGTAGATGACGGGGTCGCGTCCGGAGAAGTCAATGACGGTGGCGGCGTAGAGTTCTCCGCGCTCGGTCAGCACGGCCGTGGAGTTGTGGCGAGGGTCGTACGGGCAGCGGGCCACGCCGTTGACGCGCTCCAACACCTTGCTCATGTTGCCCACCTGGAACGATGAACGGAGGGTGTTCGGCTGAACCAAGTCACATTTGTTGCGATCGAGTCGAAGACGAATGATGAGATGGCGTGCTAAAAAGCACCGTTTTTGGGTCACGCAATGCCACGGCTATTGAGGAAAGAACGTGAAAGGTGATTTGGGCTACGATCGAGGAAACCTTTTGGACAGCTCAGCTGAGTTCTTCAATTCAACTCTTGCGAGCTGTTTTTTGTTGATCCAGACAAATTCGTGTCGTTGTACTGGGCATTCAAAATGAACGGGAAATGAAAGAAACAAAAAGTGCAGTCCGCATATTTACGTGTCGCTGTTTCTTGAAACGTGACAAGCAGTGACAAGAAGTGCTAGAGCAGTGGTATCCAAACTACGGCTCGGGGGCCGTTTATGGCCCATCATCCATTTTTCTGCGGCCCGCAACATGACCAAAAAATAATAATAATTGAAATTAACATTTGACATGGGGCGCATGTTTAGTTAAAAAAAAGGTAAAGGTGGACAGAGTGAGAAAGGAGGGTGTCATAAATATTGGTGACATGACTACTCATAAATTTGGGGGAATTTTATATGTATGTATACTGCATATATAAATCTAACTCTGTGACACACCACCTGCGTGCTTTTTTTTTTTTTTTTTTTTTTAATATTATGGGAGTTTTCGAAGAAGTTGGTGCCTGGTACCTCTCTGGTGGTGCAGAGGGGCTGGAAGGCGTTGGTCCCGCAGGTCATGACTTGGGTCTTGTTTACCAGCAGCACTCGGATGTAGTTCTGACACTCGACCTGCACAAGAAAGGCGCCGCATGACAAACGCGACGCACTTGTTGTGTGTTTGGAGTCACTAGTCCTTAAAACCCTTCTGGAGTATTTTGATTTAATCCGTTTCCTGTATCTAGTCTGCACACGCGCAAGGACTTCAAATGATGATAATCGAATTTACTTTTTGATGTCTTTTTAAGCATGTGAATTAACACTGAAACAATAGTTACTGCATAAAAATCGAAGAACTAGTTTTTAGGAGACGTTTGGGGGGTCTCGCGTCCCCAACCAATTGCTTGTGTTCGTCTGATGGTAAATCTGCCAGTGTATGCGCGCGTGCGTGTGTAAATGGCTTGGCCATTTGTCGCCTTTTGTGCTACGACAAAGACGAGACATGATGCCAGGCAGCTAATTTCCAAGAGAATTGATTGGACGCCTTTGTATGCGTGCGCTGGGAGAATGAGGCAGCAATCAGTACAAAACGAGTCAAAACCAGACGCGCTAATATTTGTCGCGACGAGCAGGGAAAGTTGATTTTCCTGAAAATTACCCTGTCGCTGTGTTTACATCAACTGCTCCTGTTTCAGGTAGGGGTCTTTGAAGTTAAAAAAAAAAAAAAAATTGGTTTCAAGACAGCTTTCGGGTTTCATGCCAAGATTAGGGTTGGCCCTTCCTCAAACGGTGACAGGAAGTTTTCACCCTACCTCCATCTTGCCTTTGCTCTGACAGGACCTCCTGGTCTCGTCGTCGGGCGCCCATTCCGTCGCCTAGGAAACCAGAGGAGAGAGAGAGCGAGAGATGCCGACGACTAGTCAGACAGCACAATTGGAGACGTGGCTCACACTGACACGACTGATGAACATTTGCATTAGGATGTCAATCTTTTTCCAATCAGGCAGCCCATGAGAAAAACGACACGACAACGATGACGACAACAACACATGAACCTGATTGAACAGGAAGATAGATTAGCATTAGCGCTAGCATGTCAATCGCTTTTCCAATCGCCGTTGACGACGGATTATCAGTGGAGGAATGCAGACTGGAAGGTTTTTCCCCTTAAATTTCCTAAAAACATCTCAACCATTCAGTGGTGTTGGACAGCTTCAATTGCTTTCAACACAACGTTGGAAATAACAGCTTTCGAAATTGACACCGCTGTGCCGCCTTTTCTGGCAGCCGCCATCCTGCATCTGGTTCTGTAGCCAGGAATTTATCAGGTAGAATGTAGCCGCCAATTCTGTGTCTGTTGCTTTTATTACAGAAGAGCAACATGGGAAAATTAGAATTAAAAAAAAAAAAAATCAGTCTTTGTCTTTAATTAGAATGAAGCAGATGTGTTGACGCACCACATGGTCCCAAACACTGAGCAAGATGGTGTTACGGGGTTGCTACGGTGAGGTTGTTACGGCGGGTTGCGTTCGGTGAGGTGTGCCTGAGGAGGGGGGGGAAGGGGGGGGGGGCGGGGGCTCAGCTGGGAAAATGTTCTTTGACTTGGTTTGTTTTCACACATTTTTTTTTTAATGGCACTTCCACACACTTTTAATTGGATCTTAAGAGACTTGCCAGGTGACACAACGCTAGCACTTTAATCTGGCGACCACTCTCTTTTTTTCTCTCCGACTGGGATCCATAATCCCAGAACATCAAGCACACGCTAATTAGTCGCCGTTATAATGACTTATTCTATTCTTTGAGCCGTTCATCACCTCGCTGCGGCACACACACACACACACACACACACACACACACACACACACACACACACACACACACACACACACAGCCTTGGCCAAATGTAATCATTAAATGTGAACATTTCATTATAGTTTTGTACAACAGAAAAACAATGAGACTAATAAAGGATTTCTTATCTTAAACTGAATTCACACAAGCACACTCTACAGGTAATTCATTAAATTCCTTTTCCTTCATCTGAATCTGCACCAAAATCAGTTGCATGGTCTTTAACTGACTGACTGACCAACGAACTTAACTAACTAAACAGCAACCAAAGAATCTAACTACCAAACTGACGAGCCAACCACCCGACTCAAACTGACAGAGTAACCACATGAATATGGAAACATGACAACTATTACCCTCCCTCCTCCCCCCATAAAAAGGACTAACAAACTAGCAAACAAACAACCTGTCAACAAATCAAATAACTAACCAACCAATTGACAAACTAAGTAATGGCCACCCAACCAAAGGACTGACTATCTGTAAATGGCTAATGAGCCCACAAAGCAACTGATAAAATGGCGAACTACCCCCCCCCCCAAAAAAAAACAATCTAACAACCAAACAAGTGACCAAGAGGCTGGCACGTGACTAAGGGGCTAGCAAACTAACTATAGCCAAACTACCAATTTAACTGTCATGATTGCAAACCATGGCGTTGTAATTCATGCAACAAATAAAGTGCCAAGCTAACCAACCAACCTGTCAACGGACCAATTAACCAACAACCACCCAACAAACCAACTAACCAACCAAGGAACCATCAAACTAGCTAATCAAGTGAGTAACCAGTTTACAAACTAGCTCCTAATGACTGATAGTGATTGGTAATGACCGGTAATAATCAGTCGCGGCTGGTAATGATCATTGTTGACTGGTAGTGATTGGTAGCACGTGTTTACATCAGACAATCACTGTTTGCTAGTGACTTGCACTGACTGATAATGACTTGTGGTGACTGATGATGACTGTTAAGTGACTGTTAGTGACTGAAAATGTCAAGCAGTGACTAGTAAATTCAGGAGTGACGCATCATGATCGATATTGATGGGTCATGATTGACAATGACTGATCAGGATCACTGCTCGTGACTTGCACTGAATTGTCATGACGGGTAGCAAACGGGAATGACAGGTAAAGGACCTTTAGTGACTGACTGGTAAGGTCGTCCTTATCGGCGCGGCGCCACATGTGGTCTAAGCCTTGATTAGCGTGGTCTGACACCCCGCCGCCATTGTTCCCCCCCCCCCTGCCACCGAGTGTGCTTTATGCAAATGCCCGCGTGTTGGTTCATGTGCGGCGGCTGGGGAGAAATGGGAAGAATCCGCTGTCAGGTTAGCTTGTTGGCCTGCCTAATGGATGGAAATTAACTCCAACACACGTCTTGGGCTCGGGGCGCGCGCAATCAAAATGTGGCGGTGGAAGGAGCAGAAAATAAATGTAAAATGTGGCGGCGGGCAAGCAGAGCTGCCTTTAATTGTGCGGAATGTGGCACGCCGAGGACAGCGCACGCTCCATTATAAGTCTTATTGTGCGGCCGCCAGGAAATCACGCTCTTTAATATTCATGTGCGCACGCTGGAGAGGACAATACACAATACACACGACATGCTGCGCTGCTCACCTGCACACAGTTGAGCCACTTTCAAAATAAAATAGATGATTTTTTTTTGTCCTTTTTTGCTTTCGTTCTCCCTCCATAGGGGCACCGCAAAAACCAATCGAAATATGTGAAAAAGTAGACACTGTTCCATATCCTCATTATTATCAAAATATGATATAAATGTAAAATGCATACACTTCAATTCTCTATAAAAAAATCATGACAGTGAATCTGTTTTGTATTACCTATAAATGTCTGTGTTTCAACAAGTATTGTTATTGACTTTTTTATTTTAATTCGATGCTAACAAGCTTGATTCATGTCTGAGTGAAGCTAAAAAAAAACAACAACAACAAAACAAAATCTCTCTTATTAGATTTGAGATGGGTCGCCGTATTTCTTGTGCAACGCAACCTGCAGTCCGGCCGCTCATTTCCCAGATTGCACTGCTGATTGCACTCATTCAGGCTTTGGCTCTGAGGGGAAGGGGGGGGGGGTGTTGAGGGCTTTGGCTTTGTTCCAGCACAGCGAGGACGAGCTCGACAGAGATGGGCTCTGTGTGTGTGTGTGTGTGTGTGTGTGCGTGTGTGCGTGTGTGTGTGTGTGTGTGTGTGTGTGTGTGCGCGCGCGAGCCTGTGTATGTGTTTTGAGAGGGGCTCTTCGTGGGGATATTTGTGGTGAAGGTCAGCGGGTTAAGCCGACAGGGATCCTTGGAGACGAGGTTGAAAAAATGGCAATGCCCCAAGCAGTGATTCATGGCACAGGCATCCGACTGCTTCTTTCTGTGTGTGTGTGTATGTTTTCATTCGTGCGTGCGTGTGTGTGTTGGCCATGACGTCATCCCATCAGGCTGTCTTGGGCTGTCGAGAGGCGTCGGTTGGTTTTGTTTTGGTGTCAGCAAGTCACGGCGATTGACTGCCAAGGAAGGGGGCGGGGCCACTCTCTTGATTGACTGTGTTGACTATCACTATGCTATGTACTCACATGAAGATATGATTAGTTGCTGCCCCACACATCTGGCCCCAACGCAAGCACTAAATTCCTTCCTTTACTCCTTAGCCCAAGCAAAAAGCCTTGAGTAAGTTTTGAAGTGATCCATTATGTATTTTGGGGCGGGGGGGTTGTGTGTGTAATCCTACCAACTCAAGGTGAACAATATAACTAAGAGAATGACAAACAAATTGACGAATGAAATAAAAGGGTATGATGAAATGACAAAGTAACCGACGAGTGACCAACTAATCAACCCACCAACAGAGCCATCACTTAACCAACAAATGAACTGAGCAGCCAACCAACCAACAACTGACGCACTGACGAGCCAGCTGATCGACCAATAACCAGCATAGTAATTAACCTGACAAACTACCAAACTCACCTTCAAACCGAAAATCCATCCAACCGGCCTACTAGCTAACTAGCCGCCCGACTGACTAAAAAAAAAAAGTGTACCTAATCAGGGTTTGTTGTTCTAGGTCACAGTGAGAATAATATTGATGATGAAGGAGCTCATGATGGCTAAGGTAGCTTGAATCCAAGCAGCAAGATCACTGCTGGTTAAGTCATTCTCTTTTAGCCTAAAATCGATTGCTTTTCCACAGAAAAAGTCCGTCCGTTTCTATGATGAGATCACGACTATATCTTTGTGATATTTTTTCATTTTGCAACTACAGTAGTTGAGTCAACCTGGAGCAAATGTCTGCTAAAGAGACTTTTAAAAATCTAAAAGCAGCAATCGTGTAGGAGTTGAAGTGATGCGGAAAAGTGCGTCTTTCCAGTGCCCCGGCGAGAAGCGGCGCTCCCCACCTGACGACAGGAAGTAGTAGCGCAGAGGTGAGGAGAGGAGCCCAGCGTGAGACGGCGCGCTCTGCCGCCTCCCACTCAATGTCTGGCCCGGCGGGGGACCTCCTCCTCCTCCTCCTCCTCCGCCTGAACTGTGGGAGCGCTGTACTGTACTGTATTGTACAACCACCAGACACTTCATTGGGTACACCAGCTCATGACATCCACATTTGCTTATTTGCTGTACTTCTTCCCCACTGATACTGTAGCTGATAGGAGAAATGCAGTTTAAAACTTTTTTTTTGTAATGGCTACTAAAGTGGGTATCAATTACTCACAGATTTACGCTATTCGTCATCGGGCCTGGTCCCTGTCCCCCGGGAATTGAGGGGTCCACTGTATTCACTGGCATATTTTCATTCTCTTCAGCGAAAAACAATCAACGTTACTGCAGTTGACTGAATCATGAACCAACTAACCAACAACTAACTAAGCAACAGGACTGACTCATCAACCAACTGACAAAGCAAAAAATATGCTCACCGACTAAAAGGACCAACTGAATAACCCAACAACCAACTAATTGACCAACTAATAAATGAACTAACTTACCAGCTAAGTACCGAACCATCTAAGT